CGAAACCACGTCACCATCATCATTACAAAGTAGCACAGAGCTCAGCCAGCCAACGCAGGGCGGCCCCGATCCCAACTCACACCCCCTGGCTTCCCCCTCAAGAGGATCATCATGTGACGCCACGGCAGGCAGCAGGAAGTCACGCAGGGTTGGGATGCTCGGGAAGAACTGGAGCACGATCGTTCCAAGTTCTAGGAGCTTAGAAGCACTGATAGAGAGGACCAAAGCCACGCTGACAGGGAAGGGTGGTGGTGGTCAGAATTCCCCGTCTCGAGAAGTCCCTAAAGTACAGAGGATTTTCTCTGCCAAAACATTGCCCAAAAGCTTTTCCCAGGGTTCGGTCTCCAATTCACCTGGTGGAGGGCTGCACAGAGTAGCCTCGCAGCTGCTGCCGGGACCGACAGCGCCAAGACTGGATGCAGACAGCTGGAGATACCGCGGGCCACTGAGTCAGTGCTTCCTCAGGAGAAAAAGAGCTACTGACGGTAGTGGTGAAGTGTGTTCTTTCAGCACACTTCCAGTCAGCTGCCAGGCAAAATCAAAGCAGAAAGCAAGCCATAAAGCAGAGCAGGGTAATAAGGCGGCTCCCGTGAAAGACATGAGCCTCGCAGCCAGGCTTGCTTACATTAATGCAATGAAGGGAAAAACCTACAGCCTCCACACAGGGTTCGCGCTAGCACGGAAGGATGCCTTAGACATGATTGGCGTTCTGCAGTCCAGCACAGGCCACAAAAAGCAGGTGGTCCAGGAGGCTGATACGGAAACATTCTCCCAGCTGCTCCTCATGCAGGCCAAAGTGCTGAGCAGCTCCTGCAGACAAATGGCCGAGGAGTACGGCAGCCCCGAGGAGCTACTGCTCACTCTGACGCACAGCTTCCACACACTGTGCTGTCTGACACAGGCCTGCATGTCACTGGTGGAAGGCCTGAGCACGGAGCGGGAGCGGCGAGAGCTGCTGGCCAAAGTGGACGAGATCGTCGTGACCTACGTGAGTCTCCTGAAAGCTGCCGAGGCGGCTTCAGGAAGCTCGCCCACTGACCAAAGTGTGAATGCATTGACACATCACTCTGCCACCATGTCTGCTATTATAACCGCACTAATTCACTCACTGCAAACACTGCTCAACAAATAAACGGTTGTTTTTTAGTTGTGATTGATTGATTTTAAAGCCATACATAAAAAAACATGGGTTTTAAAAAACAAACCAATGTGAACTGCTGTGAAGAGAAAAAATAAATAAAACGAAACAATTTTGCCTTGTGTAGACATAAATATTTTATGTAAAGTAAAATATTCAAATGATGTAAATCCTCTACATTTCAAACAGATTATATGGAAAACTCTATGAAAATACATACAACTCTCTGAAGTATCTAATAAGAATTATTTTACATTGTATTAGTAACATGTAGATTATTACAACCTTGGTAGTCCCTTGTTTATAAATGGTCAGTAAATATATATTCAGAGTTTATGTTGGGAAATATATACAGCTGTAAACGAATCGCTGCAGGACAAGATGTGATTGAATAAAGTGATCAGAAGGTTTTTTTTTTATTTTAATAACTGGATTTATTTAATATCTACTCTGTGTGAAAAATATACTTTCCTGTTTTTTTTTTTGTCAATATCGCTACAAAATAAAACCTTCAAACTGTTTTAATCCGAAGAAATAATTTTGTCTGTTTTTGTCATATTACTAACAAAATAAATTCACTCTTTAGTTTAACAAAATTCGAAAAAACCTCTATCCTCCAATTCAGCAAAATTCAACAATGACAGAAAATAAAGCAACATAATGAGGAGCCAAAATGGCTCCTTCTTGAACAGATGGCCATGCAATAGATAGAAAGATCTGGAATAGACGAGCTTAATGTTAGTCATGTAAAAGCTAAGGTTGGGACTTTGACAACATACAGTATTTGCAAGTAATAAGCAACAATTCTTTAATGCCTGTCCCACCGACGCACACACTACAACCTGTAGATGGCAATAGCGCACCTAAACCTCAATTACAAGCTGCAAAGAAGATGCTACCAAAATTCAGGCCAACAGTATCAGAGCTAACGTTAGCTACAACAGTGCTGCTACAGGCTAACTGTGTAGCCAGCACAATTTTAACAGTACCGCGAGTTTACACCAATGTGTAAATTCAAATTGAAAATCATGACAAAGTCAATCATCAAAGTTTATATCAGGTACTGACACTATCACAGTTAAAACCCTCGTCCACACTATGTTCAACTTAGACCCATCAGCCCACGATGACTGAATATTCACAATGTTAAACTATGTGGTCCGAACTGGAGAAAGTTCTCAGGCTACAACAGAGCGATACTTAAACTCCAAGAGCATTAAAAATCATTGTAAGTGGACTGAAGTGAGTGAGAGTGGTTGAGTTCGTGCACTGTATGAAAAAGCCGGTGCGGCGTTCAATTATTGCCATCACTTTAATAGCCGGTGCATTACAAGACTGACTGCATTCACTTCTGGCTTTACATTATTCATATCCACAATGTGCTAAGTCCATGTTCAGCTGTGTAACTTGTGTTAATAATTTAATAATCCATTCACCAGAGCCAGGGCGGAGGTAAGGCGTTACTGCTCATTTCACTTGTGGTGTGATTGTGAGATGTCAGTTTCCCAGCCGTGTGGGGCAGTAATATATTGATTTTTAATATTAATATTACAGCCACTGTGCTATAAAAACACTGGCACAGATGGTTAGGTGTAGTGTAAATATTTAGTAGTAATTCTTTTTTAATAGTACTGTTAAATAATAATGTTATTTGTATTAGAATCTAAAGGGTGTCCCGCTCAATCATACAAGGGGGCTCGTGGACCACATTTGGACCCCAAGCCTTGAGTTTGACACGTGTTATAGATGCATCATTCATTGTTTACACCCTGCTTATACATAAATTCCTTTTATGCCTTATTTCTATGTATTCCTTGGTGAAGATGAAGATAGATCACTGCTAATGTTGATGCTGCTGCTGAAAAAGAGCTTTTCGGTTTTCTGTCTGCAGTAAATGTTGTCATTTATTACACAGTCTTTGGAGCAGGCGTGATTTGGAGGAGACAGTGAATCAGGACAGACTGTGACATTCTGCAGTGTGACACGTTGTCAGGCCTCCCAAACAAATGCACTAAGTTTAGACGCGGCTTATTTCCAATTTAAAGGAACACACTAAGGCAGTGCTGACAACTGTTGTGAAGCAAAGCCATACAGTGATGACAAGGCAACAACCAAATAACAATAAATAATAAAATTAAGAATAAAAAAAAAGAACAGTCAACAACATACGTACAGCAGGATTTCAACCAGCAGGTATCTACATACAACAGTACCAAAGAAAAAGTCCAGGATGAAACGTTCTTGTGCAATAATACTGTTTCTACTACTGAAAAAAAACAAAACAAAACTATTAGACCAGCTGATAAGACTTGTCTGTGTAAACAGCCACATTAGCAGCTGGCAGACCTTAAAACTAAGTTTCGTCTTCCCCTGTAGGTGAAACAGAAACGAAACAGCACTTTCTCTTGATGATGACCATGGAAAAACCAATCAACTGCATCGTTCAACTGTCGGGGGCTTTTTTTGTTGTTGTTGTTTTGTTTGGGGTTTTTTTTACAGCAAAGACACATTTAAATGTTTTTAACATTCCTTTTTAACTAGTTAATTTGGTACTTTGAATTCACTTGTATCAAAAAGCAAAAAAAGCTCTGTATATGTACGACAGGGGTCACTAACTATATTTGTCAGAAGGCCGGAATTGTCCTGGACACCTTGGAAGAAACAACAATATTTCTATTGTTCTAATAATTCTGCTCAAGAATCAAACACAGATGGATAGTGTGAGGGTGTTGGTCGCAACAAGGAAGTGATGCTGCTCCAATTATACACACACTGCTGTGACCCGGTACACCTGCTACTTTCATAACATCAGCTACAACTGACGATCCATGTATGACCCATATTAACCTGACATCAGACCACACAGCGAGACGTCTTTACTGTTACGAGGACAAGGATGAGCCACTCGGTAAGTTCACCTGTTTTTCTGGTATTTGTTTGGACAAAACAAAAAGCAGTGATGTTGACCAACTAAAATAAATTAATTATTTACCAATTTTAATACTTCTGAAATAAATATAATATGGAAATATTTTTAAATATTTTTCTTTGTTTTTCTAAAGTTATTATTATTATTATTATTATTATTAAATCACAGCCTGTTATTCGTTTTGTTTTACATTGATTCCCTGTATGGTTTTTCTTAGTAATTTGTTCGTCTCGTGAATTTTTAGGAACCTACGATGGTTCCTGCCCAGATGTGCGTGGCACTGCTGGCCCTGTGGTGCTGTCTCTGTGTCTCCACAGCCACCGTCCTTTACCCCAAAACCCTGCCATGTGATGTGAGCGAGGCCACCAACGGCAGCGAGGTGAAGGTAGACTGCACCGACAGGAGCCTGACAAGAATTCCCCCGGGAATCCCCACAGACACCACCAATCTGACGCTCACCATCAACCACATCCCTGGATTGAACTCCTCCTCCTTCAACGGTCTAGAAAACCTGACTGAGATTGACATGAGGTGCAACTGTGTGCCCATCAGAGTTGGCCCCAAAGACAACATGTGCACAAAGAGTTTGACAATAGAGGAGAACACCTTCACCAGGCTCGGGGTTCTGCGTGCCTTGTACCTAGACGGCAACCAGCTCTACAGCATCCCCAAAGGCCTGCCCTCCAATCTGGTCCTGCTGAGTCTGGAAGTCAACCACATTTATTACCTTTCTAAAGCCAACCTCTCTGAGCTCACCAACGTTGAGATGCTTTACTTTGGTCAGAACTGCTATTTCCGCAACCCCTGCAATGTGTCCTACTATATAGAAGAAGGCGCTTTTTCTCATCTGAACTATTTAACCGTGCTCTCCCTTAAGTCCAACAACTTATCTTTCATCCCGCCGCGCCTGCCCACGAGTCTGAAGGAGCTGTATCTCTACAACAACAATATCAAAGAGGTCACTGATGAAGATTTCAAAAACTTAACCAACCTGGAGGTTCTAGACCTTAGTGGAAACTGTCCCAGGTGTTACAATGCTCCTTTTCCCTGTGACCCCTGCCCCAATAACTCACCGCTGAAAATCAGCGAGGGTGCGTTTAAGATGTTGACAAAGCTGAAGACGCTCCGCCTGCACAGCAACTCTCTGACGAGGGTGCCCTCAGCGTGGTTTAAGCACACGAGTGAACTGAAAGTGCTCGATCTCTCTTCAAACTTCCTGGCGAGAGAGGTTAGCATCACCAGCTTCCCCAGGAAATTGTGCAATCTGGAAGAACTGGATCTTTCATTCAACTACGAGCTGCAGCGTTATCCTCAAACCCTGAGACTGAGTGACTCCTTCAACTCTCTCACGTCCCTCAGGATTTTCAGACTGAGGGGTTTTGTTTTTCAGCAGTTCATGGAAGAAAGCATTGCTCCTTTAAAACATCTCCCAAACCTGGAGGTCTTTGACCTCGGCACAAACTTCATTAAAATGACAAACCTAAGTATTTTTATGGAATTAAAAAGCTTTAAAATAATCAGTCTGTCGGACAACAAAATATCTTCTCCCTCCGACAGCCAGGACTCTGTTGGTTTTAATGGAGGACAGTCCCAGGACTGGTCACCAATGTCAGCTGCATATCAGTACCAAAGTGAAGAATTCAGGGAAGTTCACTACTTCTATTATGACGAGTACGCTCGCAGCTGCAAATACAAAGACAAAGAACAGGGTGTTGTTGGGTCTTTTGTCCAAAACGAGTGCAGTCAGTTTGGCAAAACCCTGGATGTGAGTAGAAACAACATCTTCTTCCTGCATTCTAGGTTTTTGAATCTCAACGAGCTGGGGTGCCTCAATCTGTCTGGGAACGCCATGAGCCAGAGTCTGAACGGGTCTGAGTTTTCCAATCTGAAAAATTTAAAATATCTGGACTTTTCCTTCAACCGCCTGGACCTGCTCTACTCCACTGCATTTCAGGAGTTGATCAATTTAGTTGTTCTGGACATTAGTTACAACAACTACTATTTTGAATCTGAAGGTTTGACCCACATGTTGAATTTCACCAAGAATTTAAAGAATCTCAAAATCTTACTGATGAATCACAATAAGATCTCCACGTCTACTAACATGGAGCTGGAGAGTGAATCCCTGCAGAGGTTAGAGTTCAGGGACAACCGGTTAGATTTGCTGTGGAGAGACGGGGACACTAGGTATTTGAATTATTTCAAATATCTGCGCAACCTGACTGTCCTTGACATTTCTCACAACAACCTCTATTTCATTTCCGAACAAATGCTCAGCGGTTTGCCAGAAAGCCTGACTGAGCTTTACATGCAAAACAACAAATTGAAATCCTTTGCGTGGCTTAAGCTGAACCTTCTGCCATCTCTGCAGCTCTTAGATCTCAGTGAAAACAGTTTGGTGAGTGTTCCGGTGCTGTCCGACTGCACCACGTCCCTCAAGAAGCTCATTCTGACCAGAAACCAAATCGCAAAACTCAAACAGGATTTCCTCAAAGACTCCTTCAACCTAAAATATCTGGACCTCAGTTATAATTCCATAAAGCACATTGAACAATCCAGTTTTCCAGAGGAGGTCGTCAAACACATGGACATGCTGCTGCTGCATAACAACAAGTTTGTCTGCACGTGCAACGCCACGTGGTTTGTGACCTGGCTCAACACCACGAAGGTAACCATCCCCAGGCTGGCCACGGCGGTGACCTGTGCAGAACCAGGGGTGCAGAGAGGTCATCTTGTAATCTCCGTGGACCTTCAAGCCTGCCAGCACAACTCCCTGTCCATCATTCTCTACATCGTCATGACCTCAGCCGTCCTCAGCTTCTTCACCTTGACCATCTCCAGCCAACTTTTCCTGTGGGACGTTTGGTACTTGTACCACTTCTGCAGGGCCAAGTTCAAGGGCTACAAACGCCTGTACTCCCAGAGCTCCGACTACAACGCCTTTGTGATGTACGATAAAATGGACACTGCCGTTTCTGACTGGGTGATGAAAGAAATGTGTGTTCAGCTGGAGAAAGAAGGGGATCGTCACCTTAAACTGTGTTTGGAGGAACGGGACTGGATTCCCGGAACGCCCCTGATTGACAACCTGTCTCAGAGTATCCACAGGAGCGAGAGGACCGTGTTCATCCTGACCAACAAATACATCCAGAGTGGCAACTTCAAGACGGCCTTCTACATGGCTCACCAAAGGCTGATGGATGAAAAGAATGATGTCATTGTGTTGATATTTTTAGAGAAAGTGCCCTGCAATTCAAAGTACCTCAGACTGAGGAAGAGGCTGCACAGGCGCTCTGTGCTGGAGTGGCCCACCAACCCCCAGGCCCAGCCATACTTCTGGTTCAGCCTGAGGAGCGTGATGGCCACGGAAAGCCACAAACAATACAACAACCTTTTCAAAGAGACACTGTGACTGTTCCTAACAACGTAACGTCTCTTCATTTTCAGTTGATCCCACACAAACTTCTGTGTATTAATATTCATGTGTCACTAAGTAGCACGAGAAACTGCCAACATGAAATGGGGAAATGAAAGTGGAGAACTTCTTTATTTCACATTCTACTTCTGTTTGAGTGGTATTTTTACCTCATCATCTGATGGTGTGTTGCTTTTGTTTGAATTTGGCAGCAGCGCATGTGTTTGAAAAAATGTGGAAAGCTGATATCAAAGAGAGCAGGACGCATCTGTGCAGCTAGTTGACTTCTTTTTTACACGTTACCTGTGTACTCTCAAAACCTCAACGTTTTTTTTTTTTTCAACAATTCAAGGATTAAGAGTAACATATACAATACAGGAACAATGGTAAGTTTAACAAATATAAATATATATTACTTTATGTCAGTTATACATTTTATAGTTGTATATTGTACCTCGCAGGATTGAGTGCTTCAATGATTTTGTGCTAAAGAATTTGTAGGAACAGAAAATACCTTGTATGAATTCATTTAATCCTGAGAACTATTGACTTTTGCAATGGATTTTATTTTTTATATATATATTATTTTTAAATCAGTTCCATAAATAAAACACAGCATTTACAACATGTTAATGCTTATATTTAATCTCCTGAGCTAAAAACCTTGGCATAATTACTTGATGACGCTTTGTCAAAGTGGTGCGATCATGTTTTACCGTTCACATGCTTCAAGTATTATTAATAATATTAATAATAATAATAATAGTACTAAAACAGTTAATAAAATGATGTATCTGATCCTGTTGTACATTGTATGTTGTTTTCATAAACTTTTCACAAAATAATTTAAAGGCCTTTGTTTACTGACATATGAAGCGGTGTTTTTTATATAAACTTCCGATAATTTATAAACCGCAGGATTTATAAATTTATATATATATATATATATAATATTATATATTAAATTTATATGTTAGGTGACTTTATTTCGTTTGCTATAAGAAATAAGTGACGGTCAGGTTCCAAACGCTGTTCAGGTTAATTCGCTTACAAAATGCTGCCATCTGCTGGGCACAACCAGAAATGTCTTTAACAGTTGCATTGACATGTATGTATTGACATTGTTGGGAAAGGGCTTCCTGCACAACAGACCACAAATTGGTCTGTTTTTTTCTCTGATTTTTATAATGCCATTACAGGTTGTCATTATAGGGCAGATGCTCTTCCTGCTCTTCAGTTCATTTTGCCACTGTGACATCGAACGCATCTTCCCCGGTGTGTGTGAGCCCATGCGGATGCCACCAAAGTTTCCCTGTGACATCAATGTCTGCAACAACTCCAACATCATTTCCAACTGTAATCAGCGGCAACTCACCAACGTTCCTTCCGGAATACCAGGAAATGTGACTGTTCTCGACTTATCCAAAAATGATATTTACAATATTACAGCTGAGTCATTTTCCAATCTGTTTAATTTGACTATACTGAATTTGAACTTTTTGAACTACAGAAAAAACAAAGACAGGGTCATCATCAATTCAATGGCTTTCAAAAATCTGACAAAACTGACAGCTCTGAAACTGGTTAAAACTAACCTCACTGACATTCCTACCAACCTTCCCCCGAATGTCAGAAAACTTGATCTGAGCAACAACAACATTATGTTGCAAACCATGAACCTCAGCAGCTTAGCAAACATCACACATCTGTGGCTCACAAAAAACTGCTACTCGTGGAATCCCTGTAAGAGTTCTGTGACGGTAGAGAACAACACGTTTGCTGTAATGACCAAGCTAAGGATTCTGGATTTGACGTATAACAACTTAACCGCAGTTCCTAAAGGTTTACCTCAATCATTAGAGGAGCTAAGCTTAGGATTTAACCAAATAGCACACATATTTCAAGATGATTTCTTGGGGTTAAAGAATTTACAAGCTCTCAAATTTCAGGGAAACTGTCCTAGATGTGAGAACGCACCGTTTCCCTGTGTACCTTGCAAAAACTCCTCCCTGGACATCCACCCTCTTGCCTTCAGAAGCCTAACACAGCTGGAGCGCCTGCACCTGGGAGGAAACTCCTTACGCAGGCTGGACTCTTCCTGGTTCCAGAACCTGACAAAGCTGAAAGTGTTGTACCTTTCCTTTAACTTATTGGAAAAGGCAATAACTGAGGACGCACCGTGTCTGCAATACCTCCCACAGTTAAAGAAACTCGACATTTCTTTTAATTATGAACCCAAGACCTACTCAAAAACTGTGAAACTTTCACGGGACTTTTCACATCTTCACTCACTCCAAATTTTACAGATGGCAGCTTTGGTGTTCCAGGAGATTGGACCAGAAACACTCAGTTCACTGTATGGGCTCAAAAATCTTAGTGCACTCAACTTAGGGACGAACTTTATTATTAATTTCAATTCATCAGTATTTAGCAATTTTCCACAAACCAAGATGATATACCTGGCAGAAAACAGACTGTATCCAATGCAGGTAAATAAAACCCAACCGTTTAATGGAAATAATCAGCTGTCGGTCTTTTCTCCTCCACCTGTGTTGAACCCTCACGAAAGGACCATTAATTACGAGATAGCGCATCATCTCATCAAGCCAGAGTGCTACCAAGCTGGCCGAGTGCTAATCCTCAGCTCAAATAATCTTTTCTTCATTTCTCCAGAGCAGTTCCAAGGCTATGGAAACATCGCCTGCCTCAATCTGTCTGCAAATGGCTTTTCAGCAGCACTTAACGGCACAGAGTTCTCTTCCCTGCCCAACCTGACCTACCTGGATCTGTCGTACAACAAGATAGACCTGGTCTACGACAATGCCTTCAAAGAACTACAGAAACTCGAAGTCCTTGATCTCAGTTACAACTCACACTACTTTAAGTCATACGGGATCACGCATAATTTGCATTTCATACAAAATCTGCCGGTTCTGCGAGTGCTCAATATGAGTCACAATAGCATTTCCACGTTAACGACAAAAATGTTGAAAAGCAACTCCTTGTCAGAACTTCGGTTCACAAATAATGACCTTGGGTCCTTGTGGAAGGACAAAGAGGTCAGGTACATCCAGCTTTTTGCCTACCTTACTAATCTGACATTGTTGGACATCTCCAATAACAGGCTAACCAGGATTCCAGACTGTGTTTATCAACTGCTTCCTTCTCAGCTCACCAAACTATACATACAACACAACAGTCTGGCTGATTTTAAATGGAATGAACTAAAGCATTTACCTCGACTTCAGATTTTAGACCTGAGCCACAATTCTCTGTCCTTTCTGATTAATTTAAACTCAAACATGAGCCAGACTCTGACTTTTCTTGACTTAAGCAATAACCAAATCGTCCACCTAGATGAGGGATTGATAAATGGTCTCAAAAGCCTCAGGGGGCTCAGACTTAGCTACAACAAACTCACTATCATTAACGAGTCTACCTTTGTGAGCGGACCTGAAAATCCTCTTCAGACTTTGTTCTTGGATGGAAACCCTTTCCAGTGTACCTGTGATTCCTTAGATTTCTTCCTTTGGATTGGAAAAAGTGACATTAAAATCCCTAGACTGACCTACGAAGTGAAATGTGACTCACCAGCTAATCAGAAAGGACAAGCACTGATATACTTTGACGTCAACCAGTGCGTAAACGACAGCAAAGCTAGGTTGATGTACATCCTCTCCAGCTCCTTCATTATTGCCTTCATGTTTGTCACTACCGTTGCTCACTTGTTTTACTGGGATGCTTCCTATGTAATTCACTATTTGAAAGCTAAAATGAAGGGCTACAGATCACTGTATTCCTCTGACAGCTTCTATGAAGTCTTTGTGACCTACGACACCACAGACCCACATGTCTCTGAGTGGGTGATGAGAAATTTACGAGTGAAGCTGGAAGACGAAGGAGAGAAACATCTTCCGTT